GTACACGACTCCCTCATCGTCGGCTTGTCGTTTTACTATCGTACGTGTACTTACTCTCTCTTCTCTCTCTTTCTCTCCTTTCCCACTTTCACATATTCTCTCTCACCCTCATACATGTATAGATGTATTTGCCGGACTCTACTCCCTCTTTAACCACCCCTAAACGCCAACAAAATTCATCCTAGAAAACTCAACATTTTTTCCCTTTACTGCCCTTCATTTTTAAAAGAACAAATACCAGATTATTAGATATGATTCAAGTACTGTACGGTTCACTGCTTTTGATATTTATTCACTTGTTTTAAATTTTTGTTTTTTTTTTTTCAATGGAACAACCTTCGTGATATTTAATACTCGGTGCACTTTTTTGCTGACAGAGAATCAAGTAAAACAGAACATGTGCCGCCCTCTCTCAGTGAATGCTTCAACAAAACAGGGGTGGTTTGAAATCTACTAAGAAAGCATGCTTAAGTCTGATTCAAATTAAGATTTTCATCTTAAATAATTTTTTTTGTCATCATATTAAGTGTTCAAATGATCTTTAATTTTCAATTGAACAGTTTAATTTTTTCAATCATTTTTTTTCAATTGATATATGACTTTTTTTCTTAAACTATTAATAAGATTATTTGTATTTCTAAGAAAGTGTTATTAAGTTGATCAGTGATTGAAGATATTTTAAGTGAGCGTATTACTTTGCATAGTTCTTGAACGCAAAGGGTAGTTGTACCGATTTTTTCTGCTTTCTGGAAATGATTTATCGACAAGAAAGTTCGCGAAATCTTAAGTTTCCAGAGTGGGGGAAAAGGCGAAGAATGAGGATGCGCTGGTGGGCTGTCCTAGGCCACAAAGCACCGCCCCTTTGGCTTCTCATTCACCCTCTCCCTCTTAACTTACTTTTGCCATCTTGCCTCCGATTCTGTGGTTAGCCTTGCTTCGACCAGCAATCAGGAAAGCTGGTGTAGTCTGATCTAAAGTGTCTACTCACTATTATCTTTAAAAAATCAATGAATAATCCACGTTATCAATTCTTCTAAATCTTCCAAGATTCTCTTTCCTTCTTATCACTCAAATTAATTCTTATAATTTTTTAAATTTTTTTCACGGTGATAAAAAGCTTGAATAAATAATTGATAAACTGTTAAGAATAGCAAATCATCCCCAACACCCTCATCAGATAAAAAAATCTAATTTTTTCAGTTCTGAAATGCCGACAGTCGGTGTTTGAAAAAAGTACCAGCGGGAAAAAAATCGGATGTTCGTTTTTCGTAGTTGAAGCTTTGAGCGACGAGGCCGCTACACTTCAGAGCATACCTGAGTGTGGGAAAAAGAGGGATGAAGTTGAAAAAGGAAGGAAAAAACCTCGTGGCCATAGTAATAATTTTTACAAGGCCGCGCAATCAAGGCTGCGTGTTACACATGTTCACTAAAGTCCCTACCACCTTTCCCCCAAGTTAGCGTGGGGGTTGGAAAGCCGGATGGAGAAGGGCGGTCTCATCGGAAACTAGGGGAAAACGAGTCATGGGTGGGTGCTTAACTCATTCCACTGAAGTTTAGGGGTGCGAGAGGGAGACCGCGAGTAGCGCGATGAAACGAGAGCAACGACGAAAACCAAGAGGCGGAGAGGACTTTTCCACTAGTATTCAACTCTCTTCTGTACTGCTATTACTACTTTTGTGTGGTGCTTGGGACACGTTTTATCCTCTCGCACGTACGCCCTCCGTTTGTCGTGCCTCCGGTTCCACCAATTTGTCTGAATACAAGTGATACGCGGTGTACCTCGGCGATATTTCCGCCTCACGTGCTTCCATTTTTTTCCCGCGTTTTTTAAAATCATTGTTTACTTTAGGAAGACACGTGATACTCTATTTATGTATACAATACAAAAGAATTTATTTCACACTAGAATATAATGACATTTCATTATCCATTCAAAGGTAAGTATTTTCATTAGAGAATCGATAGTAATTAAGTATTGATTCTGTAATTGTAATTATTTGAACCATAAATGCTCTTTTTCAGAAATGCAAATTAAACACGACATGATTAGTGGCAAATTGGTTATATATCATTATATGATCAACCTAATTTATTATTAGATACTAAAAAGTTTAATTATTTGAATAATTCAGAATGAACAATTTTTAAAATAGGATTTACTGAAGGTTCTAGGTGTTATAATTAATCAACGGTATTCAGAAAAAATATATTTAAATATAAAAAAAAATTGTAACAACAATTGAATTTAATCAGTTGGTTGATTGAAAAGGGCATAAAAATGTTTGAACTTAGAAATCATCTTCCTGAGTATGTTGATCGAAGCGTGACGAGCGGTAATTGAATGTAGGTACGGCATTTGCATTGACAAGCTGCAACAGAGATAATTCGAATCTCGTCGAATACGAGAACGTCCACACGAACGCGCGCGCTAGGTCGTTTGTCAATACGACGATAGTCCTGGCAACATTCGCAGTGTTTGTCACGCCGGATTTCCTCTCTCGTTTCATCCCTATCTAAAACACTCATTTTTTATTGTTTACACTCAATAATTTCCTCACTGCTATTTTTTTTCATCAACAAACTATCAGCAAACGGTGGTAAAATAACGGCAGAAAATCATGATACCAATCTTTTGTTCTACACGTATTATTTATAAGATAAAATTGGATTTATTTCTACTGAAAAAAAACCAGCAATAGTAGTAAAAAGAAAAAATAAAATACAAAGAATGAAAAATAATTCTTTCCTTTTTTTTTTGATTGTAAGAAAGAGAATGAAATCAGACTAATTTTTATGAGAAAACAAAATGGTAAATAAATAAAAGTAGTTTTTGTAAGAATTTTCTTTTGTTGCGAATAAAAGAGGCAAAAGGGTAAAAGGGTTGCTTTACAAGACAGAAAGTCGAATGGACAAAGAAAAGAGAAAATAACTGACCAACAGAGAAGCTAAAGCTGTTTTGCATGAGATAAAGTGTCTTTACGATACATGAGAAAGGAAGACGGACTGATGATGAAACAAGAAGAACGTCTGTGAGATAGAAAATGATGCTGTGATGCTGGAATCGAGTGAGAGGGTTAGAGAAGTGGAGAGAGAATCAAATGAAAGGGTGGTGGGAGCATGCGGTTCCATGGAGGGGTGTGAGGAGGATCAGTCGAGAAGGGGATGCTGCGTGTGTAGGCATGGACCAGTGCGTCAACGGCTGTTGCCTCATACGTACCGCCCCAAATTATAGTTAGTGGTCCACCGGGCATTTCGAGATCAACATCCTTCTATTCTAAATACTATTATTATTAAATCTTAGTCATCACCCATTGAGCTTTTGGTATTTTTATCTTCTTCAACGTGGTGTGCAATTTCAAATCATTTCGACAATTTAATCATTTTTTATCCAAGTTTTTCTGTGATTGTGACTGTGATTAGTGAATTAGTCTAGTGTTTCTTTCGGAGTTTATATTGTTTTATTCATCATTTGGTCTGGTTTTTGAAATATCTGTTCAAGTTTATTCACAATCAATTTGGTGATCAAGTACGGTGATAAAAATTATTTCAACATTTTTTCAAGTAAGATTTTCGGTTGTTCTGTGGATTACATGTTTTTTAATCTATCATAGATCAATAATTAGGTTAAATCACGGAAATATAACCGAACAAATTCTATCTAAACTCGATGACAATCTTGTAAAAATACCAATTGAGAAAACGCTGATAAATTTAATAAACTTCTTGGTGATAAACTGGATAACAATATTTTTTGAATAATCATTTATTATTTAAAATGATATAAAACCTTCATTGTCTTGAATAAAATATATTCGAAATTATTTATTGCATTTTAAATGCAAAGTTTAGAAAAGAAATATTCTGCAGTTTAATACTTTTTAAAATTAATTAACACAAAACACAATATGAAACTGACTGAAAACGATCATATTTACATTACAAATTGTATAAAAAAATTGAAATAACTAATTATGTTGCCAACTTTTCTTAAACTTTTCTTTAAGAAATAGATTTTCTTGAAGAGACTTGAATGCGAAGCAAGGCGATAATCAAAGAGCCGTCGCGTCAAGACAATTTTTTCAATAGTGTAATAATTACAATGATTAAAAAAAAATTATGATCATATAATAATTAGGTTATATGAATCCGCGAATTACATGATAAACGATGCGTTATGATTTTTCAAAAATAATGTTTATTTTGATCTGATCACTCAAGACAGTCGTGCCATAAAAGTGTCGAAAAAAGTTGCAGTTAAAGATGACACAACGTGGACAGATTGGAGCACGTGCAAGTTTGACACGCGGCATTCGTGCGTAGCATTCATGTGGGGGTTGAATGGTGCCACTCCACTGCGTTCTTTTCCCCTATTTTTTTCTCCCCCACCCTTGAATCTCGTCGATTCGTTCTCCCCTCTATATTCCATTCTGCACCCACTCTCTTTTGCACTCTTTTACTCCCCTTGAATGCAGCAGCCGCGTGTCACTGAAAGTGACGTACGCAAAAATTACTGAATGAACGTCGACGTCACGCGAGCGCGATTAAAAGTTTTTAAAGTCCCACTCACAATCCCCTCTTATAGCTCTTACAAATAATAAAGGTAATTTTAACTATAGAATTTTAAATAACATCCTTCAATAACGTACTTTCCGAACTATCAAATTATAATCAAACATTAAGCAGTACTATGATCACAGTTTCATCTCGGATATTCGTTTGTTTAATTAGAAAAATGAACGATCGTTTCAATAACAAATTTTGCCATTATAACATTTAATACATTTGGTATCAAGTTACAAGTAGTGCAACTCAAAATTGCAAATTGTGTGCACAAAGTTTTTCACATAATATTTATTTAATATTAAAACCATAAACTGAATAGAACAAACATTTTTCAATTTATATTTTTAATTATTTCCAAATTATTTATGCAAAAATTACTCATATAGTTGAACTGTTTCTTTTTCAGTATCAAAACGATGTCTTTTCTGATGAAAATCAAAATCCTAGACGTCCGTGAGAAAATAAAAAACAAGCTTCTATGATAGAAGTCAAGAGTATCATTTAGCTCGTTGAAGATTAAAATCTACGCCATCTCGAGAGCCGTCGGGAAGATAAGTTATCAATAAACATGCCATACTCACGTTTAACTCGAGAAACTGAGCGTCGCTCATACCCGATGTCCTGATTGCCTATGGATATTTTCGGTCGGTGTAACGGCCCTGGAGCTGGTAGTACCACAGTGACTGGAACAGGAGGATCAGTAAGAACCGCATCTTCTACTGATTCAGCGGGGACCGCAAGTTCAAGTGAAACTACTGAAACAACTGGAAGCAGAATGCAGTTGACTGGAGCATCAGCACCTGGGACTGCTGCCTCACCAGAGTCTGGAGTCTCTCCTCTGACGGATGCTTACACAAAGATGACTACGGATATCCTGACAGAAAGAACACTTGGTGATTTCGTCAGTGAACATCCTGGAGAACTTGTGAAGACAGGTATTCTAAAACAATCAATTATTACATCATTGACGCTGTAAATCCAAGTGCATTTTTGTTACACATTTAAACATGTTAAATATGACGTTACCCATTTGATTAACATTGTAGTCAATTAACGTCATATTTAATATGTTTAGATGTGTAACAAGGATGCACTTGGATTTACAGTGCACATGTAATCAATAAGGGTAGTTGATTCATTGATGGAGAATATTAATCGTTAATCGTTTAAGTATGAAGATAGTGCACCGTAGTTGAAGAGTTTTTTAATTTAATCCTATAAAACAATAGATTATTATGTTACGTTGCTCAAAAAAATTTGAATACATGAAAACAATTATTTTCAACTTATGAAATTTACAGGATCTCCACATCTCGTATGCACAGTTCTGCCAGCTCATTGGAGGTCTAATAAGACTCTGCCTGTGGCTTTTAAAGTAGTAGCCCTAGGGGAAGTTGGTGATGGAACTTTAGTTACTGTCAGAGCAGGAAATGACGAAAATTGTTGTGCTGAGCTGAGAAATTCCACAGCTCTGATGAAGAATCAAGTAGCTAAATTTAACGACTTAAGGTTCGTCGGAAGAAGTGGTAGAGGTGAGTTAGATATTTACTTACACCTTTAAATTATCATCATAAGACATGATTTTGTGAAATGTTAGTAATTGTGAATGAAATTCAGTGAATATTATTTCATTGAAGTTAGCAAAAGTAACTTATCTTGTTTCATTCACAAAACTTGAAAGTTTCTTACAACCCTCTACGTTGACATTATAAACCTCAAGAAAGAGGGAAGAAAGTGAACAGGAAGTAGAAATAGGGAATAAGAGAGTGTGAAGGAAGAATTTCCACCATAGTAAGGGTAGGTCATGGATGTCTCAACCACCCTCATTTTTCCTGGCTCCCTTCTTTAAGAAAGCTGTGGGAAACATTTCAAAGGGAGCTTTTGGATTCTTCAAGCCTTGTATTTATATTGCGCGGGGATGGGTAATGGCTTTTATTTGTCCACCAACTTTGTACAGTATTCCTTCCTATTTCAGTAATTGCCTTGAAATGAAACTTTAGCCTTTTCTTAGCTAATGCTTAATCTATCATTCTTTACTATCATTGATATATTTTTAAATTAAAAATCCTACAATTCTGAAGAGCTTCAAAAAAATTAGCATCTTGATTATCTAAGGCATATCAGACAATTTTTTTTCTATTTCCTGTAATGTTAAAATTTCCGAGAGCCTAAAACAGATATTTATCCCTATTTCCCTTAAATCCCTTTCACTGCTCTCTCATCTACTCAAGAAGAAGGGTTATCTTGAGAAACAGAAGGGTATATTAATTGAGGTTTTACTGAAGTTTCAATTAAGGTTATTAGTTCAAGTATGCTTTTTAGCTTTATAGCTTCTCTTCATCTTTTTTATAACCACAAATATTTCTAATATTTCTCAAAATATTTAATAATAATAGCAAATAATAAATAGTTTGGATGAAATATTCTAGATTAATATTATAAACTTAAAAAATTTTGCTAGTAAATTATTTTCTAATAAATCTTTCTAAACTCACGACATCAGAAAAGATGATCATCATCGATTATTGCTAAGTTAAATGGATCATGATAGAATGTTAAGAACAGAAGAATCTATGTAGAAGAGCCAAGGATTTCAAAAGGACTTTGAGAATAATCAAGGCTTTCAAAGTCTAGAGAAACGTCTTCTCGAACATCCTTCATTCAAGCTTATGTTAATGCTACGCTTGCCAAAAACAATTGAGAGTTAATCCCAGACAAATGACTGACGCGTTAAATCCATCTCATCTCTTCTCTATTCTCAAGGAATCCTCTTGAAAATCCTTTATTTTACCTTAGATTAAAAATGCCGATATTTAACCACTTGATAATCTTGAAAAATATTATCGATATTCTACAATTGATGAAGAGAGAAGTGAGTTGAGTATATCGGCGAGTGTCGAGCGTGGCCACAGGGTGGTTGGCCACGCGAGTTTCTCTTGCCATGATAACCTCCCTCACGTCGCGAGACAGTCACGCTATCGTTCGAGTCTCTCGCTCTGACGTTCCCACCAATTTACCACTGTCTTTTCACTTTCACCCTATAGAAACACTCAATGTGTTAGAGCGTAGCATACAACAAGAAACAAGGTATCATACTACCATCCTATATACGCACAAGAGAACTCGGGTATCACCCTCGGTGCCAGTCGCCAAAACCATTAAAAGTCTAGTCTTTCTCTTACTATTTCTCTCTATACAGGTTTTTAAACGTTTCCCGTGTACGATCAGCCCTTTCTCTTACACCCTCGCTCATTTACCACCCTTCTATGTTCTTTACCTTCTATTCCAACGGACTATTTCTGCTGTCGAAACTTACTTGATAAATTTTTTTTCAAGATTTAATAAGTACCTTTTTACATTAAAAAGCCTTTTACACTTTTTAACAATATCTTAATGATTTTTTGGAACCTTGATAGAAATGTTTTTATACATTCGAAAATCTCTTAAACAAGGTCTAATTTTTTTAAGTATTTATTGAAAATAAGAATTATCTTAAAGCTTTGCTGATATAAATCAGTCTTGATGGTTTATAAATGGATTAAAAAAAATATAATCTTTATCTCAAGTAAGCTAGTAAGTAGTTTTTCTATCATTTTTTCCTTTAGTACAATTATCGTAGCAGCTTTTTACATTCTATATATTGTCCTTTCGATACATTACTGTGGCTTAATTCGATTAGCCCGAGTTCCAGTAGATAACCGGGTTTGCAAACTTTCGGTGACAATGCCTGCGATGCATATTTACCAGAAAAGCTTAATGGAAAAGCACATAGAGGTCCTGATGGTTACCAAACTCAGAGAACACACTTTCAATATTTTATATACAAGCTTTCACATACTCGTCCTTTTCCATCCAACCATTTCGGCCAAATTTAATGTTATGATGATTTATGCATAGGCAAAAGCTTCACCCTTACGATAACTGTATCAACGACACCGCCCCAAGTGGCTACCTACACCAAAGCCATCAAAGTCACGGTCGATGGTCCAAGAGAGCCTCGTTCCAAGACCAGTGAGTATCACTGTAAGCATTATTATTTCATTATCAATACTATTAGTTGATTATTATTATTTAATTATTTTCAATAAAATATCTTATTAAAACAGTCAAAAAAAGTTATTTTAAGCCTAGACGTTTGCTTTAATAAAAGTGTAAAATAATGAAAGTTATGTGAATTAGTTCAAAGATGAATACTGTTGCCTTTTGTGTGGTTAATTTACTGTCTAAACGGTGCTAAGTCTCGATGAAATTGCCGTTTATTTATAACTTGTGCACACGAAGCAATAAGACTACGAGAAAGGAGACCAAGGCATAACGCTGATGAAGGACTGCGGGTTTAGCTACCAAGATATTGTACATTGTTAGCTACCGCCTACAAACTTGCTAAAGTTCACGCCCATTTCTTGGTCCTGTGTCGCGACCCTTTTGGGACATACAATTACCTAGAGTTAGTTATTCACGTTGTCTAGTTTGTCTCCAACTTAGCTCTCGAGCATTAGCAAAACTACTTAGAGATCTAGCTAAAGTAATCCTAATAAGATTTTATTTGAGTCTTCAATTAACATTGTTTCGTTAACTTCATACATTATTGTTAATAATTATCATTTACACCTTTGGAGTTTTAATTTTATTACTTGAATAATATTCTTCATGCTTCGTTGATAAAATATCACATGTCGATCTCTATTCCAGTAATGATATTAATGTTCATAAGCATATTAAAGACTTCAATAGCTGGAGATCTAAAAATAGGAGTAGATTGGGAGTAAACTTACATATTTGAGACCACGACCGCCGCCGTGGCTACATCTGCGGACCACCCGCGGTTTGAAGTTCATGATTCAGAAGCTCCACGATTTAGGGTTCAGGTGGTTCTAGACAAATTTCATCACAAACAAATCCTTTGGCGGTATCTTTCATGAAAATAAACATCTAAAATTACTATCATGATATACTAAGGTATCGTCTTGGGTGGCTTCTTCTTTTTTAGAGTGATATAATATCAGAATTCTATTCTGAACACAATAAGAAACATGAGAACTTAGAGTAAGATGAGACAATATCTCATTAAGACGTGAATGAGCAATACATTGTCAACCTACTCTAAATAGTTTAGAGAAAATGGCAACTGAAATTTATATATTATATTCAGTGGTTTTGTTTAAAATATTTTTATAAGAAAAATATTTGTGATTAAAAACTGTTAGCTGATATTTATATTTTGGAGATAACGAGAACTAGAATAAAAAACTTACTTTTGAAGTCATTTTTTTACGTCTTTGGTGTAAATTTAGCACTCAAGTAAAAATTGCTCTGTATGTGGAGTAACATTTATTGCTCAGCTTTTTGTGTTCCAAGGTTCACCATTGTGGAAAATATTTTTCTTTGTTCTTCAAGATAATTTTATGCTTCTCCACAGAAATTTAAATTCTAAATAACAAAATAAATAAAAATAACACTGATTACATTTTTTTCAAGAAAAATCTTCCATTAAGAAAGCATCACTTTATTAATTATTTTTCATGCAGTGTTATTAATTTATTTTATCAAAAATTTTGTTACTCGTCAATTATTGAGTTATAAATATCAAGATAATATTTGCATTAAACACTTACTATTAAATAGTTAATTATGCATATTTTCTAATAAAACTTTTTTAATATTATAAGTTTGAAGGTTTCTTCAGTGGTGGTCAAAGCTCGCTGAGCTTTCGAAGACGTGGGTGGTGCTTACGTGGACGCGGTTTGACATGAGGATAAATGAGTCTTGGCCCGAACTGGTGTTGGTCCCGGGTGAGAGGGTTGTAATTAATTAAACAAGCAATTCATTACACATTCAACCCTCGGTCCTCATGACTCTCCCTCTTCTCTCTTATTCGTCTCCTTTTACCTCTCTGGAAGTAACCACCCAAGGAAATTGATTGAGAAGGGTTTCCTTCTTGCTTACATATAGGTTTAGTCGATATGTGTGTGGAAGCTTCTGGATCAGATGACGTGTTTTCTATTCGGGCTGCCTCTATAGTAGTCCAAGAGATATACAATTGACGACAACGAAATTTAGGGACAAGAAGTTTCGCGGGGGTGTCGTTTCAGTGTAAGGCTTTGGCACAAAATGAGAAGCTGTCGTTGACAGCTGGCAGATTCCCTTGGCAGCTCACACCTCGATAACTGAATCCAATGAAATCAATAATAAACTACAATCAGTTAAAAACTCCTTTTAATTAATAATGACATTTTTCTTGATTAAAAACATTCTTATTTTTTCTTTCGTTCTGTTATAATTATTTACAAAATAAAAGTAAAGTTATTTTTTATTTCTTATAAAACATATAAATAAAACTACCATGAACATCATAAAGTAATTATGAAGAAAATGGAACTGTTAAATTTCCATCATGCTTTCTTCTAATTAAATGTATTGATGCATTTGATTTGTTAGTTAATTATAATTAAATCGTAATAACCACAAAACGAAAAATAAAATCTATCCTAACCAAGACTAATTTAATGAATTAAACTCTAAGGAGCTACGAAAAAAGAACCAAGTAAGCTCATGAACTGTCAAGAAAAAGGGAAGCTTTAGTCGCTGATGTTTTAACCGGATCTCGTTAGTCGTCAGCCGTCGGTATTCCGTCGTTGTGCCATTGTGTCTCGATCGAGCATACCTATTCAGCAAACTAGCGGGAATTTCGGGTTGCCGGGTTAGAATTAGGGTTTCGATTGGATTATCGGGGACGACGGGGATCTGTAGGACTCTCTTCTCTCTTCAATGCTTAGTCTCTCTCTATTTAGTTGGTTTCAAACGGTCTCTAGTGCCTTCAACATTCGCATTAGTTGATCGTATGGGGGTCTCCTCTCTGTCTCTTTACACAGGAGAAGAGAAAGGATGAGCCACAGAGATGTGCTCTTCTCTCCTCTTTCCCTTGCATCCTGTAGCCGCTGAACGCCTGCTGGGACGTCTTTAATTGGGTTGCCGACACCGAGAACCGAAGCACGGAAATAAAATATATCAGCGCCTCTCGTGTCCTCTCGGGGATTTTCAGTGTCAACTTCAATTGACCTGTCCGAAGATTCCCTGAAATATATCTCAGAAAATTAAAATCGAAAATAAACTTTTTTTTAAATATAATTTATTTTAAATATTCATCTATATGATGATGATGATTATTATTATTAATGAATAACTAATATAATTTAAAGATGGATAATTAAAAAAATTGACTAAAGTAGTTGGAACAGGCGCACGATTGATGGTAGTGCTGTCATTTCTAGGGCATCAGCAACAATTTCATGCATTTGCATTTGCTTCACAAAGAGGAACACCGTTTTTTGCATCACCTCTTGTTGATTCACTTCAACCTCTACCGAATCCACTTCAGCCACTGCCGAATCCTCTGCAGCCACGTGATCCGCTTTCTTCATTTCGCCATGCAATGCCTGGAAATTGTCAAAGTAAGTGAATGCATTTTTTATTGTTTTATTCATGAGAAAGTTAATAAGATCTAAGAGTTCTACCAGATTGCAATAAGCCAATGTCTCTCTTCCTCTAATCTCTTTTCAACTCCTTCTAAATTTATATACACTACTCCCTGCTTCGTTTCTCTTTCTCCTTCTCTCAGGCTTTTTGCCCAGACAGTAACCGCAAGCCTGTTCAAAGCTAGATTAAATATTATATTAAAGGGCTTGCCAGAGAAGGCTCGAGGTCGAATATACATATACGTGTATATACTGCTATACTACTACTGCTACACTTTCGTCGACCCTACGAGCTACCAAATTCGCACACGAGTTCCTGTGGGTTCGACTTTCTACTACAGATATATTTTTTATAAAAAAAAGTCAAGATAAAATATTTAAAAGTAACGATTAAAAAAAAATGAAAAATAAATAAACATCGAAATAAAAAAAAAACGTAAACACGCAAACTACCCTCCGTTTAATGAATTCCCTGAGATGACCTCTCCAATATATGTAGAAAAAATTCCCCAATAAGTGTACATACATACGCTCGCGAATATTTCCTTTATTAATTTTTTTACACTTAAGCTTCATTCGTGTGGTTTTAGTATAACTAAACCATCAACTTTTAGCTATTGAAACCTTTCGTTTGTATTGATTTATGTGAGTAAATTATTTAAAAAATTAGTCCTCAATTATCTAATTTAAAATGAAAATAACTTTTCTTTGTTCAATGTTATTTTACGTTTTTTGGCTGTTAGAATAAAATCTGAAAAATTCAATTCAATTATTCTAAAACTTTTAGTAAATAAATAATACATAAAAATAATGTATTTATGTATTGAGTTTCCTGTAATTACATTATGAGTCGTCAGCTATTAGCGTTAACTTACCTATTAAGCTTTTTATTTGGCTCCCTTTTTATCATCTCACCATGCGAATTATCCACAGCCACATCGACGAACGGTCCATTCAAATTTATTTCGATCCCACAAGTTGCGAGCACCTAAAAAAGTCAAAAATAAAATGAGGCTCCTCGGGGATTGCGAGGAATTCGTTAGTCTCGAAACTACCTATATATTTCATGGCTACGATATGCCGAAGAGAACAGAAGCAAGAGTGAGATAAAAGCTACGTTCCAGTATTTAGGGTTAGTCCAGCCGCGACGGGCCAAGCGAACTCGGTTATTTGAGTTGGCCGTTGCGCAGGGACGACCAACCCTTTGATCTCTCATCCCCTTCATATGAGCACTATCCCACGTTTTCTCATTCTCCCTCTTCACATCTCCACCATCTCCTCATCCACTGCTTTCTCTTTCTCATCAGTAAATCCATCCCAGGACGTCCGCAAAAATATAGTTGTCGATACAGCAACTCAAAGGAAATAGATTGATTTGTCTGGGATATGTGACAAAGCGTCATCTCCATTGCTATCTACATATGACAATATGTCTCTGTGATGTAGACATGTCTCAGTTTGGATTGACGCCGGGCAACTCTTGGGGATACGGTAGTACTGCTGGGTATGCCGGATATTTACCAGGACCACTGTCATCCTGTGCAGCTCAAGCTCCATTCCCTCCACCACCACCACCACCATCCGCACCAGCTTCTTCGTTAACTACTTTCTCAGGAGCTGCTGCTATGAGCACACCAACTGCTCCTGATTCTACTGCTGGCTCCCCTAACGTCACCTCCGGCAATAGCTCGAGGACTCCTCAGCAAGATGCTTTCTCCTCAGTATCGTCATGTAAGAATTCCTCAATTATTATTCTCCAAACTACTTAATACTCTGAAAAGAAATTATCATCAGAATTATTTGAAAAGTTTATTTCAAAAATAAATCAGTGTTTGAAATACCTCCTTTTAATTAATTTTGTAATTAAGATTATTCAATCATTTTCAATAAGTAAGATAACAAAATTAAATAATATTTGAGATTAAATATGATACATCTTTGCTTAAAGTTGTAAAAGCTTTTCAAAGTTAAACTTGGAGATATTTTTTTCTTCTTATTGTATAGTCCTGATAAATGATTACAAATGATTGTATAATCTCATGTAATAATTAGATGTAAATGTTCATTATAACTATGTAAAATCAATGAATTACCTGAAGAATGTGATAATTTATTTCTAGTGGTCCCAGATACCACAACACCTGGTCAAGCTGATCCTCTAGACCCCTTGAGCACTTTGATGTCGGGAACAACCCAAAGATACCAAGATTATGTGTCTCCTCGTTCACTTTCAACTGATTCCAACACCACTGACAGTCCAGTTCATGAAGAAGGCTTTGGACAAAATTATGGAAACTACTTTCCAACGCCTGGTGTGTTACCTAGCATCCTTTATTCTCAGATCTACGGCAATCAATTTCAGAACTCGGAAAGTTCAGAACAAACAGCCGTCGCAGAAAGCTGTAGTGTCAGACAAGAAGAAGTCAGGCCAGACAATAATGTCTGGAGACCTTATTGAGTGATTGGTGCTTTGGTGAACTATAAAATTTAATTTAACAAATTCGAGAGTTGTGACTCTATATCATTTTTTGTTTCTCGACTTTTATGTAAAAAATTTTTTAAAAGTCGTGCAATCTTGGGCATTACCTTGTAATCGACTTGTAGGAAAAGTGACGCACCCGACGCTTTATCTAAAACCGCTCTTAGTGGTATTGGTTTCATTGGTTGTGTCCTGCATCAACGAATTTTAGCAAAAGTGTAAGAATGTGAATATAATGATGGGGAATGAAATGATGAGAATTTATGAGAGTGAGACTGAAATATGTAAATAAAATGTACATATAGATTATTATTATTGAAGCAACCTAAGAATAATTTCTTTACGTTTTAAAGTATATAAATATCTATTTATGTTAAACAAACTTTTTGGGTCTGTGCAATTTTCAATAAATTACTTTTCCCCCCACAAAAAAATAAAATATCTGCAATTCAAGATTTATACTCTCATATACAATGTAATTTTGGTGATACATTAGCTAGAAAATAAAACAAAAAAAAAACAATAGCCTATCATTAAATATGCAATTAAAAAATATAAATAAATTATTTTTTTCGTGGGGGTTTCAAATGAATAAAATTAGAATAAATTTTTTGGCGACTCTGAATCTCTCACTCTCTAAAAGAAAAAAACTATAAAGTGTAAGAATGATAACCAGCTTCTGATTCAACCGAAGTGGGATATCATCAAAAATAAATGAAGCAAAAGTATGAAATATTTCCAAGAAAATTAATTAACTTCAATAATTATTTCCCATATACATATCCGACTGTTGTTGTCGTAGTTTTTGACCGAGTCGAAATAAAAAATGTATTTAAAGCAAACAAAATTTAATGTTTTTATTTAACATAAATTCTCCAACCTTTATTCCTCTTTTGATTATCTAAACTATTCTAATTGCCTTTCTACTTCTGGCTTTGCTTTTCTTCTCTCACCCAGCTTCTGGATGTTTTACCATCCTTTCTACTCTTGAGGAACACAAAATAACGGCGTGAATCTCGACAAAGGGCTTTACTCTTGTACTCGAGGGATCTCGAAAGGGTTCTGAAATGATTCAGACAGAGGTATATGCAAATTTTCGAAGATTTAATTAAGCCTGTACTGGATTCTACATTTACTGCTTTCTATTCTGATTTTTTTTTTCAAGAATTTGTGTTTGGAATTCTACGAATAAATCATTTCGAGAATATTTCATTTAATTAATTAATTCACGATTTGATTCTACTGTGTATTTTATTTACAACATTCTAATCAAGTCTAAAATCAATTTAGAATAAAATTTCACTTAAAATCTATCATTACTAAAGCTTATTCAAATTGGATATCAATTTCGAAGAGAAAAAAAAATGACAGTTGAAGTTTGAATCCCAAGTGTTGAATGTTCTAGGTAGTTGTAAATGATGTTCATAAGCATTTGAGGATAATTTATAATGTATTCGATATAAATTATCATCAAGATTGATCAAGAGAACACTTGGATAGACAAGTCTACTCACTGTCAAACCACACGAATGTTAAGGGTAGGTTAGTACTGTCGTTGATACGCGGTACACCGGCATAATGGGGTAAAGTGGAGAGGGTAGAGAACGAAGTAGAATACGGATAATGGAGTATGGAGAATAGCATGTAGTGAATGTCAAATGGTATGAGCTCGAGCAAACTGGACATGGTTCGTTGCTTCGACCAGTTGGCCGTGCCGATTTATCGTCTGCAAGTCTCTTGTTAGCATTTTAAAATCATTTCCTCTTCGTTTATTATTATTCGACATCAATAATATAAAATACATTTTCACCCTAAACCAAAAAAAAAATTAATCTCAATTAAAAAAACAATGAACCTCGTAATTAAATTGATTGAGGTTGACCTACATGAGGTAGAACAAGAGGCAATCCATAAAAGAGTTGAAAAATAAAGGAAAAAATGTCCCAGAGCCCTACATACCAGGAGAGCAAGTGGATAGAGTAGCTACGCATACTGAACACGTGGCAGTTTCATCACTCGCGTACAAGAGACAACAGAGAAAGAGGCTGGATGATGTAACAAAGGTAAAAGAGCTTGGATAGTTGGTCGTTACATGCACCGGTCACTGTTAAACCCCATCGACGATCAGTCCCCAGTAACTCCCATGCAAAATCACCCTTTGTCCTGCTCGGGAAATTACTTTTTGCCCTCACGATTATGGCCAAGAGAATTTTGCCAACCCGATCATTTTGCCTGATAAAGAGAAAGGGAGAAAGTACAGAAACGAAAGAGAGAGAGAGAGATGTTGTCTAGAAGTCATTGCGTGAACGCCAATGAATTATTTCCACAGATTAAATATGTTTTTTAATTAAGCCTTGAATAATTTATGCGTGCAATCGTGTGCGGAATAGAGTGCGAGGAAATAAGTGAGACTTGACGAAGTGGGTCCCTGGGGTAGTTTGAGCGAAAGCAACCCTTGATTACCAAGATCTTCATCTACATGCTAAACATTGCTTCTCTACTCTCTACTCCATGTCTTATCTTGAATACTCTTGTACTTATGTATGTATCTAGATCTACTATACCTCCTCTTCCCTTATACACATTCAACTCTTTAAGTTGTCCATAGTTTCACAACTCCAAGTACCTTTCCCTAAACTACATTACCCTTTACTTAACTCGCATGTGAATCATCTCCATTAGAATGTTTGTTTTGATTAAATTTTGCACTTTTCTATTTTTGTTTCATCTCCTCATGAATCCTTATTACTCTCTTCAACTTAAGCATCCGTTTTATTTCAGAATAGCAGCGCCATCCTCTTAAAAGTGAATATTTTTTGAACTTAAAAATTTCTTATTTCACCCTCTTAAGATTGCGAAGGTAGCGCCACTTCTTTAAGATGCTTTCCTTATTTCTTTCCCTCTTTTACCGGCTGTCCTTGATGCTTACTCGCAAGCTACATTACCACGGGGGTGGTTTCTTAGGGTTAAAAGAGAGCCAAGAAGTTGGAGCTTTTTCTTAAAACATTCTTATCTACCACCCAATAGAGGTCGACACTGGTACTGAATAAAAAAAATTTTTTTTTTCAAACTCTAACTTCTTATCTTCAGCACCTAATGAACGGCTTTTTTTACTTCAGTAAAAAAGATTGAATATTTTTTTCAAACTTCATGCTTACTAATTACCTGAAAGATTAATTTTCCAAGAAAGAAAATTAAACAAGCTGGGAGGAAAATTTTTATCAACATTTCATAGAGCTCGGAAAATTTTTCGAGATAGACACTTGGTTGCTATGCTCTTGAAGGACTCAAACTGACCCTTAGAACATGTTAAACAAGTGAGAAAAAAGACAAGATTCGGTGGACTAGATGAAGCCAAGCTAAAGCATGAGAGCTTTCCAAGTATCTTAGCCGGGTCTCGCCGGTAGCTAGGCAACCCCCACCACATCACTAGATGAGTATAGAACCAAGAGAGGAGCAGAAATAGAAGGTGAGAGCGACTAAGAAGGGTGGACCACCCTTTACTCCTCTTGCTCCGGCTCTCTTCTTCTTCCACACCTACATATTCTCATCCGTATCGTAGCTAGAAAGCAGCCACCTTTTCCTCCGCCACCTCCAACCACCAGTCCTCTTTCAAAAACCCCTTCCAGTCTCATCGCGAGAGCGCGGGATCCCAGCCGCGCCACAACGGCCACGCTGGCCCACCTCAGACTCCAGGTTTCATCTCTCTATCGTTCATCCACTTGTTTTCTCTTTTCTTCACTTCAATCCTTTCTTTCTCTATTTTTTATCTTCTGATTTATTCGTTACACAATTCTTTACCTTCTTACTTACATAAAACTTCAATACCATCACGAATTCTTTTCCAGCTCAACTTTTCAACCCTTGTCTATTTCAATACTTCCAATGCAACCAATAATGCGACTGGAATCTTCACATTTTTTTTTTATTTCAATTTACTTGTTAAGGAAAAAAAAAAAAAAAAATTCTTCAAGAGATTTAAGTCCATCCAGGTGGAATTTCGTCACCATTTTGTTTTGTGGTTGATGTTGCGTAGCTTGTGATGGGCGAGGCATCGTTCTGCGCATCGTCTTGCGGTTGGTTTGTGGTTTAAGGGGGCCAAGCTCGATCATTGGCCACGAAGGGCATCGGAGGAGGGAATGTGGTATCACCTTGCGGTCGATAGGTGCCGATTTAATGTCGGCAGCCAGCAAAATACTTCTTGAAGACAAAATTTTGCTCATCATGGTTCATCAGTGAGCCAACGATTCATTCTTGGATACTGATGACAACTTGGATGATGATCAAAATAATTAAGCTTCATATTAAATCTCTATTCACTGTATTGATGAATCAATACATCTTGTTTGTTCATTTTGAAGATGATTTTTCAAATGTTATATTAGGAGTCCCTTTGAGCAAAGAAGCGCAGGAGTACGAAGGATGACTATCCCCAACGTTTAATTACGCGTTCCTCCCCTCTAGTAACTCGTCGACAGCTCCCTTTCATTAAGGCAATAATTTTAATAATTTTTATCTTTTTGTATAATCTACCTAATTAAAATTACGCTTTGATCGCGGCGCACCTCTCAAGCCGCACCCTTCCTTAATATCTAGCTACTTATTCATGTCTGATCATGATTTCCGTTCCCTACTTTACCCAACACTATATTCTCTATACAAAGATAAAACTGTTTCTCGTTGGAATTTTTTAATTGCCGGTTCATGTATATCTCTTGGATGTATCAAATTAATTTTCTTTGCAATCAATATGAGATAATGTGAAAAGAGTTCAATCTAGATGGTCTTTTGGATAGCAAAGAAGTTGGGTTTCCTTTCGTACAGGAAAGACTTTGAAAAGTTTCCGCTACTTCTCTCGCCATTTCTCTCTTTATCGATTTGTATCTCTTTTATTTTCTTTTTTTCGAGAATAAGCAAAAGAGAGTATGGAACCTCGAGAATCAAGGGGAAAAACTGTAGTACTATTTCGAGTGAGCGAAGAAGAAACGAGAAGAAGTAGGAAGGAAGGGTGAGTTCAAACTCGTATTCAAATGTTGATGAAATTGACCAGACGCGGAACTTTGATCTGGCCTCTTCAAATATTCGCCAAAAGAT